AGGGGGTGTAGTGCTAGCTACGTGGCCTTCGACTGCGTATTTACTTAATTTTACGATTCATTTATTTATTTGACAATTTTTTTTTAACATATAGGTTTACATTGTAACGAACTGATTTTGTTGTCTGCTCGCTACGAGATTCGCGCGGCTAGCTCAGAAGATTGTGTGTTTTCCCACCAAATTTATATGACGTGACTGCCCCTTAGATCAGGGAGAAAACAAAAGGATTCAAATGGTAACAGTGGCATTTATTCTCGTGATATTAGTACAGCGGGTGTGTGGCTGGGCTGGCTTCGGTATCTACTTGCTCTGGCTTCGCAGGCTGCTAGTGCTCCTCTTCCTGACTTGTTGCCTGTGTCTCGGGACGCTCGTAGTGGCCGCCTCTGCTCGCTTGCCGACGCGCTGCCTCGGGGTCGCTTGCCACGCCTTAGATTCGCAGAGAATTCGGCCTTGTGGGCTTAGGGAAGCGTTACCGTTCTCAGACTAGGGTGAACAAGCTTTGCTCTCCAGGCCAACGCCTTTCGAGGCAATACCTGTCCCTTGCTCTGTCCCGGACGGTCCCGCTAGGTTCTTGCTCAGATCGCGCTGACAGTCAAGGCTACCGCCAGGAAGCAGCCTAGCAGTTCACTTTGCTTTACGTAGCTGCCGGAGATGTCGATCCACCGCTCGTCCGTCACGCCAGGTCCTGCTTGGTCGGGCAAGGTACGCTGGGTCCCAGACAACTTTCCTCCCCAAGCTGATGGTTTTTCTGACAGACCCGCCGGGCGACTCGCCAGGGTGTGCTCGTGACAAAGTTGGAAAACAAACGCCTTGACTTAGCCGTGTGATGCCTTCCGGAACTCAGCCACTTGTGTCTAAATTCGGAGATTCCTGATGTCCCAATCCCGAACGTCTCGACGTGGCGATCTTGCTCCTTGTATGCTTCCCACGGCGCTGCTTCCGACGACTCGCTTGGTTGTGGCTCCCTCGTAGATTACTTGCTTGACTGACTGTTCACTTGGTACTTTAACTGATCTTGAAGGTTTGACTCCTCGTGATCGACTGATCCAGCTGCCAGCGCTCTGCGGCCTTATATAGGGCGTCCGGGAACCGTTATTTCCCTTTTGCGCACGGCCCGCTTGATCTCTCCACTCCGGGTCCAAAGTGCGTGACTCCTGGTTGACCCACTTGTCCTTCACGTACCGCTTCCAACCGATGCTCTGCCCACTGCTGCCGTCCCGCTGATTCCCGTGATGCTTGTGGCACGCCTGTGTGCCGCTCCACTGCCCAGATGTGGCACTTCTTCTCCCGGTCCAAAGTTCACGGGAGAGTCCAAAGTCCGGTGGAGTCCCGTTATCTCCACACGGCACTCTTGCTCTGCCCGACAAGTCTCCATTCTCTCCTTATCCGATCCTTTGTCTCCAAACTCTCTCGATCTCCATCCTTGGTCTCCAAACTCTCTCGCTCTCCATCCTTGGTCTCCAAACTCTCTCATTCTCCATCCTCTCCTCGCCGCGCCGTTACTTCGCGAATTCGCCGCGTATCTGGTAAGCGGCCTGCCATCTGCTGCTGCTGCTGCTTATATTTGTGGGGAGTTATTTCTTTTAAATATGTAATTATTGTTTTGATGTTTTCTATTGATGGGTTTTAATGTTTTTGACTATATTCATTTTTTAAGCCTAGTACTCAGATCGGCTAAGAGTTTCACTAGTCGAAAAATCGTATTTTTTAGTGTGACCGAAGTTTTCAAAGTTTACCCGCAATGCCTATGGCATGGTCTTACTGTCAAGCAGCTGGGCTTGTTGCCAAACGGAAAGCAATTCAATTGGAGCAATTTAAAAAAGACGTGTCTGTTGGGCCACAAAGAAATTAAAATAAAAAGAAATGAAAAGTTTAACAATTGTTTTACTTATATAAATTAGTATTTAAAGCTATCTTCTCGTCCCACCGATGCCTCGTCATCTTTCCCGCGCCATTTGTAGTCCAGCTCCGAGTCCCAATAGGCTGGCCAATAATGGCTGGTGATGGCTCCTCCAGCTGTCCCTTAGCGGGCGACCTTATTTTCTCCTCCCTATAGAAGCCAGCGCGTCCTTCATCTCCTCTTTAGCTGTCAAGTAGCTGGTGGAGGTGGAGTCCTCAATGGATCGCCTCCAGCACTTGAACTATTCTGTAGATTTGCCCCGTTGTAGTATTGTTTCCTGTCGGTCAAGTCCCAAAATAATGGGCAACAGCTTGGATTAGGCGTCCTTTTTCATCTACACTGACCTCCTTTAGCCGTTTTTGAGGTTTTTCTTCCATTTGTAGTTTTTAAATTACCCACCGCTTCTGCACGGACACCGCCAAAGATAAAATTTCTTATTCTTTGTGCCGCGGCTGACGGAGTTCATTGAAAATTCACTCGCGAAATCTGGTGTTTTTTTCTGGTATTTCCTTAGCTCATCTGAGTACCGCGCTGAAAAACTGACTGTTTGCTTCTCGCTCACTCCTATGGCTTGCTCGCGGATTTCGTCGGCTTAGTAGAATATCCTGATGTTAAAGCTTGCTATATCGTTGCGCATCGGGTTATCACATCTTCATCAATGCCTGTAATCTTCGATGCCAAACTTGGGTTACAAAAAAATTTCCTGGCGGTATTTCCATTGATGGAATTTCCTTTGTATCCGTCTCTTTGCCTATCGACAATTAATCGTTTTCTTTGCAGTACATGGAGCTTTTGTTCTGCTGATCTTGATTATCACATTTTTGTTTCCAACTGGTAAGAAATGTTTAAAAAAATTCCCAAAAATAGTATGTAGGAATGAAGTGGTGATAAGCTGAATTCAAAATTCTTTTTCTCAACTTTTTTTATAAGACATATTTTTAAATCATTAATTTCGGTGGTCTTTGCACCCCATATAAAACATGTCATGGACGACGTGTTGCTACAAACAAGCCTGTCAATCTGATATGAAAGAATATAAATATGATATGAAAGAATACCAGTTTGATATGAAAGAATACCAGTTTGATATTGAAAAATAACATACTGGTACTAAAAACACCATAATATTGTCACAAAATTGATATGTGCGCATATCAATCTGGTATGAAAAATACCATATTGATATGTTCGAAATTGTCAATATATGAAAACATAAGGGACCAAAATTGATACGCAAAAATACCCGATTGATGACCAGTTTTGGTATTGTATTTTCTCTGTGTTGCTCAGAAATTAATTGGGGTCGAAAATCGTCTTCCCGAACAAGTACATAAATACGCACTTGCTAATTCTTTGTGTTTACCCACACAACCAAGTGCATTTTTTTTTTAGATTTCACGCTCTCAACGTTGCTCGAGCTGCATATTGCAAAACCAATGTATGGCCGTTACGTATTTTAGACATTATGTATATTGGTCCTTGCCCGTTCCATGTCGTGGCGGCAAAAGCGGGCTAGAGGCCGCTTACAACACAATGGAAACCAGTCCCAACCGGCGCCTAGGATTGCATTTGTCATGTGCAGAAGTTCCTCTTTCTGCTGGGGGTCCACGGCGGAGGCTGCCAGCCGCTGCCGTGCATTCGTTGCCTGTCTATCGAGGCGGTACAGGGGTTTCCTCGCAGGCAGCAGCCATTAACCGGAAAAAGTACAAGCACGGACCATTTTTTCTATAGGGATGCCTGTAATGAAAAAGAGTTCGTTGTAAGTATTAATCATAAGAATTAATCATAATATGAAAAAATTCGATGGTACGGTGACAGCCATCGATGTTTCTCAGACTATTCCCATTACTTGAATTTCAAAGGCATACGAAGGCACGCACATTTCACATATTGCGTTTTTAATTGTAACTATTACAAAATTTTAATTTTTATAATAGCACTATTTTCATAAGATAATTATCCGCGAGAATTACCCTATTTTATTGGTTTTCACACCTTTACCCATAATGTTTAGATATGAGCGATACTATCGTGATTGTATCGATATTTACTCCTCAAACTATCGATACTATCGATGGTGCTACCATCGATGATTTTGCAGCTCTAAATCATCTATCCATTCTAAGTTGAGTTACTCTTTTGCCTTATTACCGATAGCTAAAATAGTATTTTTTTATAAAAGTGTTGCCACATAAAGCAGATACTATCGATTGTAAAACCTAGCGGATTTAGGTCTCTGTGATAGCCGTTAAATTATTTTTGAAAAACCATCGATAGTACCTTGTGAATAAAATAAAATACTAACTTTTGTCAGGCAAGTTGTGCTCGCACCGCCGACACAAGAAACGAAAAAAAAAGATTAAACTGAGGCGGTATTTCTTAACTTGTAGCACTTATGTATGTCCAACAAGATTTGAGGTTTTGCCGTAATTATTCATGGAAACTAGAGTAGTGCGATAAGCAATTCCCGCTTAATGTATGGGTCCCTGAAACAAGGTAAAGTCTAGTATTCAGATCGACGAAAAGCGCGAGCTAAACATAGGAGTGAGCGAGAGGCAAATACGCGGCTAATGCTTTTCGTCGGGTCTGTTTTTCAGCGTGGAAATACCAGAAAAAATACCATATTTCGCCGTTAGCCGCGGCCCAAATATAAGAAATTTAATCTCCTCCAGCACTTCAACTATTCTGCGAATTTGCCCCTGTTGTGGTATTGCTTCCTGTGAAATCCCACAATAAAGGGCAATAGCTTGGATTAGGCGTCCAATTTCATCTGCACTCACCTCCTGCAGTCGATTTTGGGGTTTTCCATACACTTTTAATTTTTAGTTTCCACATCGCCCATGCACGAACACCGCCAAAGAATAAATTTCTTTTTCTTTGGGCCGCGGCTTACTTCGTTCATCGAAATTCTCTCGCTAAATCTGGTACTTTTTCTGGTATTTCCTCAGTTCATCTGAGTAACGCGCTGAAAAACAGACCCGACGAAAAGAGTCAGCCGCGTATTTGCCTCTCGCTCACTCCTATGGCTAGCTCGCGGGTTTCGTCGATGTGAGTACTAGGCTATAATAAATCCAACCCAGCTGCTTGACAGTAAGACCATGCTACATGCGTTGCGGGTGAACTTTAATAATATTTTTCGACTAGTGAAACTCTTAGCCGACCTGAGTACTAGACTATATCGATAAAACCGTCTAGCGCCCACATTTTTCAAGGTTTTGTAAGTGTAAATGAAATTTTGCTTTGATTATCAATGTACATCTACAAGCCAAAACTGTTTAAACCATCCATTATAAAGTTATAATCAAGTATCGACGCTATATTCCACATTGGGAGGGTGTGCAATCTTGGGAACGGACTCTATGCTGCTTGAATATCTATATCTCCCTCACACTCCCCTTAGCTGAATAACGGAAATCTATTAGAGGAGGCCATGTTTACGAGGTTCGTTCTAATAATACTGGGCCATTATCGTTTAAAAATGATATTTCTTAATTTCTATAAAAATGTATTGAAATTAAGCAAGACGGATAATACATTGGATAAGCGCCCTCTTACATCACAACTGTATAAGGGGTTGTCCATGGCGTCCGCGATAGGAGGAAACGTCGGGCATCAGTTCCTGTCGAAAGCGCTCGTGGTTGCGAGAAAAATCATCCAGCGCTCTAACCCGTCGTAGCAGTCGCTCACCACTGCTTAAGGTGATATGGTTGTTGTTAATTGCTCCAAGACTCTGTGTGTCGGGGTAAAAAACGTTTGTGGCAATAGCAGGGGCGGCTGTAGGGCGACGCTGTTCTCTGGGCGCTCCACTAGGTCTTCCGTTAGCATTAGCATCTGCAAGTAAATAATATCTGTAGCCTGGTATAGGGAATATTTAAAAGATTTATTTTTAAATAGTAAATAAAATCGAAGCAAAATCTACCAAAACATTGTGCTAATTTATTAAAAAGCTAGGTTGGTTAGTTTTTAAATTAGGACAATGTAGGAGAGATTGCACCTGCTAAAGAGAAACAATACGATTTGTAACTTTTTTCTGACCGATACTAATCGACTCTGCCTAATGTACATATATACTTTCTGAGGTCGAAAGTATCTCCTTTACTGCTTTAAAAACTTCTTACTAAAACAAGGGAGAACGCTATAGTCGAGTACCTCGACTATCAGATACCCGTTACTCAGCTAAAGGGACTAAAGGGAAATGAAAATATGCAAGCAGTAAAGCGAAATTGAAATGCGCCACCTACCCGCGATCTCAATATCTGGTTATGTGGGCGGTAGACAGATTTAGGCGTTATGGGCGTTAGAGTGGGCGTGGCAAACTTTTTTAAGTCAATCAATAGGTACTGACAAGACTAATACATTTCAGTTAAAATTTTTTTCTAGCATGATAATTGTGGGCGCCACAGGCTTAGGCGGTTTGTGGGCGTTAGAGTGGGCGTGGCAAACTTTTTTTTAAGAATCAATAGGTATTGACAAGACTAATACATTTCAGTTACAATTTTTTTCTAGCATGAAAATTGTGGGCGCCACAGGCTTATGCGGCTTGTGATCGTTAGAGTGGGCGTGGCAAACTTTTTTTGGATCAATCGATAGGTACCAACAAGACAAATACATTTCAGTTAAAATTTTTTATCTAGCATTAAAATTGTGGGCACCACAGATTTGGGCGGTTTGTGGGCGTGGCATCGTTGCGTAACAAACTTGCACTGGGCTCAAGGCAACGGAATCTAAATCTGAAATCCCAATTCTCTATCTTCTATAGTTTCTGAGATATCCGCGTTCATACTTACGATTTTTTGAAGTTTGTAGGCGTTAATGTGGGCGTAAAACTTTTTTTTGGGTTAATCGATAGGTATTGATGACGACAATACATTTCAGTTAAAATTTTTATTCTAGCATCAAAACTGTAGGAGCCACAGTTTTGGGCGATTTGTTAGAGTGGGCGTGGCACCTTGCTAAAACAAACTTGCGCTGCGTAAGAAGCTCAGAAATCTGTATGCCAAATCTCAATAGCCTAGCTTATAGTTTCTGAGATCTCAGCGTTCATCCGGACGCACAGACAGACGGACATGGCTAAATCGACTCGGCTAGTGATCCTGATCAAGAATATATATACTTAATGGGGTCGGAAACGCTTCCTTCTGCCTGTCACATACTTTCCGACGAATCTAGTATACCCTTTTACTCTACGAGTAACGGGTATAATTATAATGCTGTTTGTACTGTGTAAAGGGATAAATGTCTATCGTATTTATTTATGTACAATGTACATACGTTCTAATTTTGTGTACTAATATTAGTGGACACTTATACAAACCTAGCAAGACCTTCAACTTCTCCTGCTGCATACGCGCATTGCTGGATCCAAAGTATCCATTAATAAACGGCAGGGGCGACATGATTCCACCGCCGCCCAACGAACTGTTGGGTGGAGGCGGTGCGGGTCTGTTGAAAGGATTCGTCCGCCTGGGTGGTGGCCTGGGCTTTGCTATCTCCGAGGCACTATGTGGTCCGTCAATAGCGTTGCCAAGAATTTCTGCAGATTTAAAAACGCAGATGATTGTGAACTTGGGTTCAACCACAACGCAGGCTCACTTTTTCTCAAACCCTCCATCTCGTGTAGCTGGCGCTTTAGCTCGGCTAGGATGATGCGATTGTATTCGTATCCGGCGCATGTGAGTGCCTTCATCCATGTCTCCATGCTTTCCTGGTTGTCGGCGGAGAGGATGTAGGTGCGGTTGCCGTTGAAGGCTATTTCGAAGCAGTAGTTGTCCACTTCGTTTGAGAGCTCAATAGTGCATCCCTCGACAATGATAAGTCCCAGTGGATCCTTGTCCACTCGCGACTCAAAGTAGAACAGCAAGTTGCCCTTCAGAACGAAGAAGCGTCTCTGAAAAGCCTTATTGACCTCGCCCCGTTTGTTGAGGAAACCTGCATTGTGTTATTGTGACTATTAGTCTATGATTTTTAGTAGAAGAAAAAGAGCTCAAAACTGTAGGATACATTCCTTCCATGTCAAATGGCGGCGTTTTCGCAAAGACGTACAGGGTCCTCTCGTTGATTTTCATGCCTGCATTCGAAGTCAATGTAGCCGCAACTTTTTCGCTTATTGTTGTGACAATCAGGTAAAATCGTAAGGCTAGAATTGACGCTAAGCGCACAGCTGTTGGTCAGTACAGTGCTGCCATATCGATAGCTGTTTATCGATTGTGTGTTGTTTTCCCCATTATGCCATTCCCAGAAGAAGAACCTGTCAGATATTCATGTAAAAAGGTAAGCACTAGTTCTACGAGAAAGCAAGAGGCAAATAGGCGAATTTTTGTCTCCTTTCTTTTAGAGGTGCGAAAAAATCGATGCATCGATGTTTATCAAATTTTTCAAAAACGTCGATGTTTTTTGGAGTATCGATGTTTCTAGGGCCATCACTGTTCAATGAGGACGAAAGCACGATAAGGACTTGTAATTTGTTACATTCCTATTATGTTTATTAAAATATTTAATTATTTGCTTGCAATTAAAGGGTATGGTATTGGTAGTGTAGGCACGACGATGGATAAATTATTAAACCGAAACTAATTTAAAAGCTGCGCAATAACTGGCCAACTTGAAGCAATGTAGTTGATTTTGTTTTTCGTATATCTTGAATGAATAAATGTTTGGTTTTATTTTACATAAAAAAAACCATTGAGATGTTTAATTTATGTTTTATAATTTAACATAAAGCCTAGTACTCACATCGACAAAAACCGCTAGCTAACCATAAGAGTGAGCGAGAAGAAAATACGCGGCTAACGCTTTTCGCCAGGTCTGTTATTCAGCGTGGTACTCAGATGAGCTAAGGAAATACCAGAAAAAATACCAGATACTTCTATAGGGAGGGGGAAATAGGGCGCCCGGTAAGGAATAGTTGGAGAAGCCGTAGCCAGCCACTGCCAGGATGATGGGTGACTTCCGGCAGCAGCGGATCAACCCCGTTCTCCCACTTCTTCAAGGTCCAATATGCCTATTGGGACTCGGAGCTGCAGCGGGAAACCCAGCTGCTTGACAGTAAGACCATGCTACATGCATTGCGGGTGAACTTTGAAAACTTCGGTCACACTACAAAGAATAAGATATTTCGACTAGTGAAACTCTTAGCCGATCTGAGTACTAGGCTTAAGCTTTTAATAAAGCATGACTACTTTCTTGAATTGTACGTATGGCATAGTTATGCAAAACTACCATGCAATTTTGTCCATTTTGGAAAGTACTTTTCAACAAACAAATGAAACTGCTATACTGTAAAAGCGACGCCTCCCCAAAGTTTCGAACCACCTTAGAATGTTTCGAGCCCTACCGATGTGTTTTAATACACATATACAGTTGACATAAGCGATTCGTATATTTCGTATATTTGAAACTAACTGTTGATTTGAGATCTCAGCGTTCATGCGAACGGACAGACGGACATAGATTGACTCGGCTAGTGATCCTGATCAAGAATATATATACTTTATAGGGTCGGAAGCGCTTCCATTTTACCTGTTGCATACTTTCCGATGAATCCCTTGTGCCCTTAAAATGTATTTACTTTTGACATGTAACAATTAACTTTTAAATGTCGCAGGAGTAAGAAGTCAAAGATGTATAACACTGTGAAACTTAATTCACTTTTACCAATAGTTAAAAGTACAAATAGTATAAAACCCTCTGCACACAGCCGCTTAAAATCGCTGTTGAACTTAGTACTGGGCAAGCTAAAAAGTATGCGATTGCAGTTCCGAGTAAATCATTTTCATATATTTTCAGCAAGAAAATTGCAAGGAAACTGACGTTATGCATAACAACTTGCACCAAATTCTTACGTTCCCTAACACGGAAAATTTAAAGTAATGTTTAAGGGCCGCTGCTCCCGAATACTGAACTTGGGTGTATACGTTTAAAAATCTGTGAAAAGTCGATTTACCAACGGATTGTCGTGATCAATGGCTCATATTCTTTGTTAAGGTTCCTTCAAGAAAAAAACATAGAACGTTTTTAGGCGTGTATTTTTAAAGAAACCATTTATGCCAGCGTGTTTGAATTTTGTCCAACTTTTTCAACTTTGACGAAGTGTAGCTTCTAAACTAATGAATGGAACTCAATACTGTGTACAGGAAAGTTAAAGGGCATTCTATTACCTGTAAAATTAGTACTTGATAGCCGAATTGGGATTATCAGAACTGGAGTTAAAAAATAAAAAAGTGCGAAAAACGTTTTTTACACTTTAAAAAAATAGGTCCCATAGAAAGAATTTTAGGTGCCCTTCCCTAATCAGGGAGATGAACCTTACCGGAAAACAAAGGTTTCCTTTAAGTCGTATTTAAGCGATTTTTTTTTTTAAATCTAGGGTTATATAAGAGTCACATTAAAAACAAGAAAGAACGCTGTAGTCGAGTACCTCGACTATCAGATACTCGTTACTCAGCTAAAGGGACCAAAGGGAGATGTATATATGCAAGCAGCAAAGCGAGATTGAAATGCGCCATCTACTCGCGATCTTAATATATGGTTTTGTGGGCGGTAGACAGATTTAAGCGTTATGAGCGTTAGAGTGGGCGTGGTCAACTTTTTTTTAAGTCAATCAATAGGTATTGACGAGACTAATACATTTCAGTTAAAATTTTTTTTTAGCATGAAAATTGTGCGCGCCACAGGCTTAGGCGGTTTGTGGGCGTGCCAAATCCCAATAGCCTAGCTCTTATAATTTCCGAAATCTCAACGTTTATACGGATAGACAGACAGTGATCCTGATCACTTTATGGCGTCGGAAACGCTTCCTTCTGCCTGTTTCATACTTTCCGACGAATTTAGTATACCCTT